GAGGGATGGGAACTCAGCTGAAAGATCTGATTGCTGTGAAAGAAAAGGGGTACGAGTCAGATCTGAAAGGAGAGATGGCTAGAAAAAAAAATGAGGTCAAACAGAGAGCAACTCCAATGAGCCTGAAAACTGGGTAGAGACTTGGTACCAATCTCTGAAATAGACAGGGAAGCAGGTTAAGATGTGAGGTGATGTGTTTCGAATGAAGAAACTACATACCACATTTTAAAAAACACAATAAAAATTACTGAAAATAAGACAATGAATTTTTATTAAGAGGAGCAAGTCCTGAAGGTTTTCAATATAAGGGAGAAATATATACACATTAGATATGAGGGATGCAGAATTATTAAGAGTCACGATGAGAACACATCGAGATTTATAAAAATGAATAATAAGTGGAAGGGAGATTAAGAGGATGTACATTTGGCTGTCAGGGCTGCTACTGTTAAATCTCATACCACAAATATGCATGCAGATGTCTGCTACTGCACCTCTACATTATGAACGATTATCTGAGAAAATAGACTTGCTTAAAATTCTACAACTAGCTTATATTTAACATTTTTGCATTCAACATTCAAGATGTTTCATTACAAAGTTCAACATATCCTCCAAATACACAACACCATTTTATACACCTGATTAGTAGAAGGAAACCTTGCCCAAAATATATGGTATTTTGAAGACTATTTGGGATAATAAGTGCTTTATGTAAGTTCCATTACAATATGAAAAATGAAAATAGAAGATTAACTCCAATGCATAGACTACACTGAGAAAGATTTGCAAAGTATAGATACGCCAACACAATCTGAGTATAGATGCAGCTTTCAATTTTTTGACAGTGTTTTTGCTACTGTACTTTATACCAGATCACCAAATGAAATAAGCTACACCAGAAAAAGCACTTATGAAAAAATGTTCAAGTCTACACTTTCCCCAATACATAAAATGTCACCAAAAAACCCTTACAGCAACAATTGCTTAAAAACTTTTGCCATTATAATGTAGACTATTTAGTGTTCTTTGGAGAACTTAGGGCTTCACATGCACAGATGGGTCTCAATCTTCCTTCCAATCAATTTTTGTCAATTGTTTGCAGTGAAGCAGTACTGGCACTTTTGTAACCACTGAGAAAATGTTCAGCTCCTAAAGTTCCCACTAAGGGACACATTAAACATTACACAGGATGACAAAAGAAGATGCAAGGTTTAACCACTGATTTACCAGAAGAAATCCATTAGCAATATAAACAAAATTCTGATATTCCTCAGTATCTAGGAGGAATAGCAGTATTTTAGTGTTGGAAAGTTACATGAACTTGCATTTAAACACTTGATTTGGTTGATAATACAGTACTCCCTTCCTGCTGCTTCTTCTCTTGAACAAGTAATTTAGCCTACTAAATTGTTTTAGCATGTATATAAAACATTTTATAACTAAGTTCTTACTATACCACATTCTCTGGCTTCAGATAGGATGTTAAATTGAGGTTTTGACTAATCATGTAGTTGATACAATTTATACTGACTACACAATTAGTTGATAAAGACCGCTCTGCAGAGCCGCAGCAGGGACAGCTCCAGGAACTGGCTTGAGACAGGACTGAGCAGTCCCAGCTCATGCTGGTTCCAGAAACCACCCACACTGTGGCTGGCTTTAAATGCAGAGGCACAGCATCCTAAACCAGCACAGTCCTGGCTCGCACTGAGTCCAGGAGCCCTTGTTCCCAGCAGGGCAGCCAGTCCTGTCTGGAGGGGGAAGGGGAGACATCTCCTGCTGGGACCCCTGCGGACAGAAGTTGCTACCAGAGCAGCCTCCCTTATCCTCCCTCATTCTGCTGCCTCTCATAGAGGTAGCAGGGGAGGAGGTCCAGCATAGCAGAGCCAGTGCTGGGGATACTGGCTTTTCAGCTGGCTCCCCCAGCACCAGCTCTTGTTCCTCCCCCCCTTGCTGCTTCTCATAGAGGCAACAAAGGGGGGGGGAGGAGCGAGTAGTCGATACTCCAGGCGACTACTCACTTACACCCCTAGCTTCAGAGCAAGCATTACCTGCAAAACAGGAGAAAAGTGTAACAGCCAGGGCTGCTTCAAAAGAGATCCAGCACTGTGACAGTGGGCAAGAAGCCATCGCATGAGTAGAAAACTGATGTTTATTAGTGCAACCTGTATGAATACCTTTTAAATTCTCTCAAAGCATTTTGGGTTCCGAAACAGAATCCCAATTCCTTCCTTTGTGCGTGTGTGAGCACTTTTTGAAAACCAACAATACAATCTTGGTATCTAATAAAAACACAATTAGAAATGTATTATAGACTAAATCTTGTCTTCTGTATAATGAAAATATTTGTCATCTGCTAGTTTGAGCTCTAGCAACCCAACTGGACTCTCCACTGATCTTACGGCTTCAATCTTTAAATTAAGATTGAACGAAATAAGTCAATGGTGAGAAATATGCACTTCACACTTGCAGGCAAGCAAAATGGATAAAGAAGTTTCCAACTGCTCACTTTGATAATGAAGTTCACAATATATTGTGCAAAATAAAAAATGTTTCTAACACATAATTAAGGTAACATTAAAAGTATGATGCAACATTGCAGCCTGATCCTAGGAACGGGGAGACACCCCCACCACCACCACCACTCTACAGCTAGGACCTACCATACTACACTCTACCTCACTAATTCAATGTGAGGAACAGAAAGAGAAAAGGCTTAAAGATACAGCAGAAACTTTAATTGTAGTGTTTATGAACACAGGCTGACATGAGGCAAAAAAATCAAGCAATTGACAAGAAATATAACCCATGGGTGATGGGTTTTGACTTAAAGCAACACCATAATCTTCAACTTCACAAGATTTGTGAGATGAAAGCATAATTATAACCAGGAAATGAATATAGTACTGTGCCTCAAAGCCCACAATGGTAAAATGTTAATTTGAGAACCCAGGATAAGTCAGTCTTCATCAATAATTATTGTATGTGATTTCATATGAAAAAATAACATTATCAAAAGCCTCTGCATTACTTGCTGAATGATGTATAGTTCAAGTTTCCACAAGTCTTAAGAAAATACATGTGATTTTCCCATTAGTATATCACATCTGAATTCTTAAGAAATATAGTTAAAATGTCCATTATGTTTGACCATACCTACACAGCGATTCCTCAACTATGGAGCCACTCAATGCTCCTGATTAAAATGCCCACATTAAATATATAGTTAAGTATCTGAACTCATTAAATTGAAATAAGCTCACTGTAGCCTAGCAGAACCAGTGTTTTTATACTTTCAATTAAATGCATACAAACTTTCTACCTGTCCTACTATTCTAAACAATATCCTGAACTCCAAAAAAAGCCCAAAGTCACATTTGGAACTTTCCACACAATAAAGGGGAAAATTACATGATTCTGAATTAAAACAATTTCCTGTTGGACGATCAACTTGATAGAGAAAGAACATACATGAGGGCCACAGAATTCAAGTATTTGCTTCCTAAGTAATGCTAAAAAACAACCACTGGGTCTGACAGGAGAAGAGTTCCTCTTCTTCCACCCCTATCTCCCTCTTCTAGTAGAGACTGGACCTGTTGAATATTCAGAAATAAATGCATCACCTACTACCTCTGACTAAATGTATTCTAAAAGTTCTCTGCAAACATTTTTCAATTAGGTATATAAACTTTATAGAACAAATTAAGAAGATCAGCAAACAAAAAACTTTTAATTAAGATGATTCCAGTTAAACCAATGCACAACAGAAAGCAAGACATTTAAAACATCTTGTTTACTGAGTGACGGCCAGACATTTTTTACTCATTTTCCTGGCAGCTCAAACAATTACAATGAACAAGTAAACTGGTGCCTATCGGGAACAACAACATTAACTAGAGAATATATGCAGGGGGAGTGACAGAGTTGAGTCCCAAAAGTTTTCTTTAACCTAAGAAGATCTAAAAGCAAGTTTTGAGAAACAACGGGGGACAGGCTGCTCAGAACTCTCAAAGCAGAATTTTACCAAATGCTCATCTGCTTCTTAATAAGAGGCAGTGAAGAACAGCTTACTGTTAATTTCCAGTACAACTAGTTTACATTTGATGGGGATTGGGACACCCAAAATTTATACCCTCTAGCTTGATTTTGGAACAACTATGGATTGTTCCTCCATACAAAACCACTGTTAAAAATCCTTGAAGAAAGAAAAAGACCCTTTCATCTTCACAACCCAATAAATCTACATGGAAATTTCAGACATTTTGGTCTCACAGCAAAGAAATGGAAGATGCAAAATGAACTGCGCTCCATATTGATTCTTAATGCAAATAAGATGAAACGCTATGTGTTTGCATGCAGATAAACATGGTCTTAAAATCTTACACATCACTAAAATCTGCAATCCAGAACTTAAAAATTACAACTAAGAAATTTCTAGCAAAAACCAGGATAGCTGTTCCTTAGAGAAAAGAGAGGTGAGAAAAGGTGAAGGGAAATGGTAAAAAAGTAAATAGGATAACCAGAATGCAAACAAGAGAAAAGGAGGAATGGGGAAAAAACTCTCTTATTTAGAAGAAAAATATGTAAGGATTTTTACAATGCATGTAATCCAACAAACATTGAGACATAAGTGTATGTATACAGACACTGTTAAGAGTTAAGATGTTTTGTGCACTATTTTATGCCTATAACCACCAGAAATGAGAGATATAAAGATGAAAACTGTACAACTGCTAAGTCTTTTCTGCAAGTGACCAAATGAATAATAAATAAGATCCCGTCTCAATCACATCTAACAAATAAAGGGCAAGAGCAATTAAATACCCTCCGAAAAGATTAATACACATAGATGCAGACGAAAAACGGGTGCAAATGGAAAGACAAAAAGGGGAAGGAACTAAGGAAGAAACAGAGCTGAAGAGGAGGAAAACTAGAGGAGAGGAAAGGGTTCTAGGCGTATTATTGGGACATGGGGGGTCTGGGCCCCTGAGACTGACCTGTGCCATCGCTTGCGGACACGGAGAGCGCCGGTGAGGAGAGTTTAGGCCGCTTGGCTGAAGGCGGGCCCGGCTCCACCACATTCTCGGCCATTTTTAATTCTTTTTAGACAAACACAGCGAGCAGAGGGACGGGGATCCCCAAAATCTTCCCCTTCCTCTCGGATCCCCGACTCAGTTGTGGACTAATGAGAGCCAGCGACGGATCTGGAGGACGCGGGGGGCCAAGTTCCCCTTTTTCTGCCCCTCGGGTTCGGTCTCTGGTAGGGTGGCACCGACTCAGCGGGGGGAAAAGGTGGGGAGTAGGGTACGGAAGAGGCCTTTTCCCCCGGACAGAGAGGAGACGGGAAGAACACGGAAACCTCCCCCCGTGCCAGCAACAAAAAAGAAGGAGAAGAGCCTGGTAGTGTTTAGTCAAATTAATCCCGGCTGCTGTGCTGCTGCTGCTTCCTCATCTCTGCCACCATCATCTTCATCCTCCGGGGGGTCTCCTCCTCCTGCTGCCGCCTCACCGCCGCCATCAGCCTCTTCCTCCTCGGCGTCGTTCTCCTCCTCCTCATCGCCACAAGGAGGCGGGCGAAGAAGGGGAGAGGAGGAGGAAAAAGGAGAGGGGGAAAAAATCACCCTCCTCTAGCAGCTCCTTCCCCGTCCAACACCACACAGCAAAAAAAACCACCACCCACTGCCCGCGAAGGGGCTGGAGGGAAGCAAGACAGTGCGTGTCCGGGGTCCCCAGCTCCCCTTGCTTCTTCCTCGCCAGGCACTAATGGCTGCAGAGCGGGGAGCTGGAAGGATGAGGAGGGTGAGGATAAGTCCCAAGAGTCTCCGCTTCACATCTTGTCGTGCGGGGAAAGAGGAGGGGTTGTTGTCCTGATGGAAGCAGCGCCGATCCCTGGATGGAGGTGCAGGGGGCGGGTTTCAGCGCCCCCTTCTCGCTCTCTCCCAGCCGGAGGAGCAGGGTGCCCCCCTGAGCAAGCGGAGGGACCGATCCCAGGGCAGGAGGAGGAGGCAGCAGCAGGCGGCC